AAATTTTTTTTTACTTTTTGGGGAGTTTATCTTTTACATCCTTGAATCCCCTTTAGAAACAACAAAATTTTAAATTCTCTTTTACTCAAACGTATTCGGATAAGGATTAATTATGACGTGGAAATAGAAGAAAAAAACATTTTTATTTTATTTAAAAATAATTTTATTTTATTTATTTATTTTTTTGTACAAAATCATTAAAATTTCACTTCGATACTCGCACAATAAAAATTAAAAAATCATAAGATCGTGGTCGTAGAAAAAACAGAAAAAAATAAAAATTCACACGCGTTTTATTATCATTATTATTATTATATAATATTTACAATTGTGACTAAATCAATCTTTGAGATCAATTTTTTTTATGTACACCCACATTTATATGTTCATCGTGATTATCATTATTATTTTAACTACCCGTTAAGGTCCCTTTTCTTTTTTTCTCTCACTTAAACGAGAACGCGAAATTATTATTATCATTGTCATCGCTTCGGGGGGATAAAAACCACCACCACCACCATCATCATCATCGCGATTAAATGTATGAGGATAATAATAATAATTTTTTATTTGATTCAGGTTTCCTTAAACACAAGGGGAGAAACGGGGCTGGACCGCTGCTTCAGGTACGGTTAGGAGGAGCACCGGGCGCGAGAATGCGCAAACAAAATCAGCTGCGCTCTCTGTTCGGAGGCGAGCCGGCCGGCTCAACACCGGCTCGGTGGGTCTTCGTGCGGGGCGCCGGCCGTCAGGGATAAGCCCATTCGGGGGGGGATTCGATACCAGGAACACGGGGGGAAACGTTAGGGGGGATCCGGTACCGGAAACGTTAGGGGGGATCCGATACCAGGAACACAGGGGGGAAACGTTAGGGAGAATCCGGTACCGGAAAAGTTAGGGGGATCCGATACCAGGAACACGGGGGGGAAACGTTAGGGAGAATCCGGTACCGGAAAAGTTAGGGGGGATCCGATACCAGGAACACGGGGGGGAAACGTTAGGGGGGAAATGTTAGGGAGAATCCGGTACCGGAAAAGTTAGGGGGGATCCGATACCAGGAACACGGGGGGGAAACGTTAGGGAGAATCCGGTACCGGAAAAGTTAGGGGGGATCCGATACCAGGAACACGGGGGGGAACGGTAGGGGGGATCCGGTACCGGAGATGTTAGGGGGGGAACGTTAGGGGAAGATCCGTACCGGAAATGTTAGGGGGAACTTTGGGGGAGATCCGGTACCGAAGATGTTAGGGGGGAAACGTTAGGAAAAATCCGGTACCGGAAAAATTAGGGGGGATCCGATACCAGGAACACGGGGGGGAACGGTAGGGGGGATCCGGTACCGGAGATGTTAGGGGGGGAACGTTAGGGGAAGATCCGTACCGGAAATGTTAGGGGGAACTTTGGGGGAGATCCGGTACCGAAGATGTTAGGGGGGAAACGTTAGGAAAAATTAGGGGGGATCCGATACCAGGAACACGGGGGGGAACGTTGGGGAAGATCCGGTACCGGAGATGTTAGGGGGGGAAACGTTAGGGGAAGATACGGTACCGGACCGGAAATGTTAGAGGGGGGAGCGTTAGGGGGGAGCGTTAGGAAGAGTCCGGTACCGGAAGCGTCGGGGGGGAGCGTTAGGAAGAGTCCGGTACCGGAAGCGTCGGGGGGGAGCGTTAGGGGGAGACCCGGACCCGGTACCGGAAGCGTGGGGGGGTGAGCGTTAGGAAGAGTCCGGTACCGGAAGCGTCGGGGGGGAGCGTTAGGAAGAGTCCGGTACCGGAAGGGTCAGGGGGGAGCGTTAGGAAGAGTCCGGTACCGGAAGGGTCAGGGGGGAAGCGTCCGGTACCGGAAGCGTCGGGGGGGAGCGTTAGGAAGAGTCCGGTACCGGAAGGGTCAGGGGGGAGCGTTAGGAAGAGTCCGGTACCGGAAGGGTCAGGGGGGAAGCGTCCGGTACCGGAAACGTCGGGGGGTGAGCGTTGGGGGAGACCCGGTACCGGAAGCGTCGGGGGGTGAGCGTCAGGAAGAGTCCGGTACCGGAAACGTCGGGGGGTGAGCGTCAGGAAGAGTCCGGTACCGGAAGGGTCAGGGGGGAGCGTTAGGAAGAGTCCGGTACCGGAAGGGTCAGGGGGGAAGAGTCCGGTACCGGAAGCGTCGGGGGGAAGCGTCGGGGGGAGCGTTAGGAAGAGTCCGGTACCGGAAGCGTGGGGGGGTGAGCGTTAGGAAGAGTCCGGTACCGGAAGCGTCGGGGGGAAGCGTCGGGGGGAGCGTTAGGAAGAGTCCGGTACCGGAAGCGTGGGGGGGTGAGCGTTAGGAAGAGTCCGGTACCGGAAGCGTCGGGGGGGAGCGTTAGGAAGAGTCCGGTACCGGAAGGGTCAGGGGGGAGCGTTAGGAAGAGTCCGGTACCGGAAGGGTCAGGGGGTGAGCGTCAGGAAGAGTCCGGTACCGGAAGGGTCAGGGGGGAGCGTTAGGAAGAGTCCGGGGGGAAGCGTCCGGTACCGGAAACGTCGGGGGGTGAGCGTTGGGGGAGACCCGGTACCGGAAGGGTCAGGGGGGAAGCGTCGGGGGGAGCGTCAGGAAGAGTCCGGTACCGGAAACGTCGGGGGGGAGCGTTAGGGGGAGACCCGGTACCGGAAGCGTCGGGGGGTGAGCGTCAGGAAGAGTCCGGTACCGGAAATCGGGGGGTGAGCGTCAGGAAGAGTCCGGTACCGGAAACGTCGGGGGGTGAGCGTCAGGAAGAGTCCGGTACCGGAAGGGTCAGGGGGGAGCGTTAGGAAGAGTCCGGTACCGGAAGGGTCAGGGGGGAACGATGTGGGGCGACGAAATCATTGCGATCCCGACGCCCCACGTCGTTCCGTCGTGGGAGGGGGAACCGTTTGGGGGATCCGGTACCGGAAACGTCGTGGGGGAACGATGTGGGGCGACGAAATCATTGCGATCTCGACGCCCCACGTCGTTCCGTCGTGGGAGGGGGAACCGTTTGGGGGATCCGGTACCGGAAACGCGGGGGAGAAAGTCGTGGGGGAACGA